TCCTTTTCTGCTGCTGGAAAGCTTTGTTTTCAAGTTCAGCAACTCTTTATGCAGTCCACAAATAGGGGTTGGGTGGGATTCATCTTCCTTGTAGAGTTGACTTGTATCTCATTATGTACTTGCAGTGTAAAAGCCATGCCTTATGATGATATTTTTTCTGCATTTTTCACGTCTCTTTTGTAGTTTGAAGTGGATGGTGAGTGGAGAGTGGTTGCTGGGGAAGAGAGTAAAGAAGTGGAAGCTCAAAATCAACGGGAGATGAGAGTGCTTGAAGCAATTTATCCACGTCTGTCGTCTATTCCTGCAAAGTGTGATGCTCCTCTTTAAGTTTCCTTTTTCCTAATTTTCTTTGGTGGTGGATAGGCTTTAAGCCTACTTTTTATTACATAGATCATACCTTTCTCTTAATGAAACGTTTGCTACCCTTGTGCAGCCCTTCGGTGTCAGTGGGCATGGAAGACTCGCTTCAGAATGATCACAATACCATTCGGATTCCAATCACTCCTATTGAGGATGAGGATGCTGCACCAGATGCTCCACTTGCCTACATGGAGTCAAACACTGCTCCCATGGCCTCACAGCCCCGTTTATTGGCCAATGGAACTTCCTCCTCTCAGGTTAGTGGCTGTACTGATCCCCATGCCTATAAAATCCCAGAAACAGGTAGAGACCCTTGTGTGCAGCCTGATAATGTAGCTGCTGCACATGCTGCCTTGACTGCAGCGATGTCGAAAAATGATCAGGGAAATTTGATTGATCATAACTTGCTCATAAAAATTCTCAATGATCCTAAAATGATTGAGCAACTTGTTACAAACCATGGCACAGCCTCCGGCGCACAAAATGTACCAGCATCCAGCATTCCAAATATGCCACTCACTGGTGTGCAGAATATGCCGTTTTCCAGTACACAAAATATGCCATCAACCAGCACGTATAATTTTCCCTCTTCCAGCACAATAAAATTGCCCAACCCATCTTCCAGTACTATCAATAGACGAGATCCGCCTTCTTCTCATGTTCCCCGACCAGAACTCATTTCGTCTCCGGCTACATCAAGTCGAGCTTTCTTTCCTCTAAGTACAATAGGACCGATTCCCAATATCCGGCCATCAGTACCTGACATCATTTTAGCGCCCACTCCATCTGCTAGACCTCCCATAGCGAAGGACATCAACTATTATAAGAGCCTCATTCAACAGCATGGAGCAGAAAGACAAGATAGGTTACCCCAATTTGGTAATCAAAAAATAGGCACAATCCAAGAACCTTTAAATGTTGCTAAATCTAGTGACCCGAAATTAAAGATTATGAGACCTTGCATATATTTCAATAGTGCAAGGGGTTGCAGGAATGGGGCTAACTGTGCATATCTGCATGAAACATCGTCCCAGCCGCGGATCAGTAGTGTTCCAGAGGTTCAAAGTACAAAGAGAATGAAAATGGATAGGGAGATTACGGGGAGATAACAATGTTCACATATATTTTCTGAGAGGAATTCTCTTAGTTCGGCATTTTATCTCTTCATCTCATTTTACTTTTTGCAAAGAGAATATATTCATATTACATATATGCTTATCTGGAATGGATTATTTTATTCGTGGATCATGATAGTACGTAGCGTTTTGTGAAAGGTGGATTCTGATTTTCCTAGTGTTTATCTTGACGGGGTGTTTGATATTATGAACTGGATGGGATCGACCTTGTGTAAGACGCAGTTGTCACTCTCTATACATAGCATGATTCCCCGGTGGTCCACGACAAAGGCACGCTACACCACAGAGTTGGAATCTTGAACATGTGTATTATATATAGACGAGCATTTTGGTGTCAAGTACAATTTACAATAGTAATTTTGTGAGCTCAAAGTAATGGTAATCGTGAATAAGTGTCTTGAAGTGCCAATTCTTCTAAAACTTCATGCATTAGAAGTATGGATATTTTTCTAGAAGAAAGAAGTGTTGTTAGCAGTGTGGATGACAAAATGATAAAAAAGAAAAAAATGGTTCAACGATTAATTTGAAACAAAAGAAATATTTGAATGATCGAAGTTGAGTAATAAAATTCAGTGTTATCAAAACTAACTCGGACTGGCCGGTTCGATCGGCATCCGTATCATGAATTTCAAATGTGGGATCAGTAAAACTTCAAGACCCGTTTTTTCGCTTAAGACACTATTCCTCACCGTTGTATTTTCATTAAATCTCTTTTGTATTAAATGTTAGATATTTATACAATAAATATAATATGTGAAGAAAATAATTAATTTACAGGAAATGCTCAATTGGTGGAAAGTGTGGATTTTGTGTGGGAGGTTGGGGTTCAAGTCACATTCCGCACAATAATAAAGAAGTTTTTGCCTTGAGCTTCCTTGATTAAATTTTATTATTATTATTATTTTATTTTGATCATTTTTGAAATTATTTAATGTGTTTAACTAGCCAGCATAATATAATCGTTTTTTAACGATCCATTAACCCCAAGCCATTAAATGTTGCAAATATTTCTGCAACCGTGCTTCAAGTACAAGCAGAGGGTCACAGGTCTACCAGGACAGACACAATGGTGGGGCTCGTGCAGTTTTTTTTTTTTTTTTTTTTTTTTTTTAATACAAGTCGGATCCACCGACCTGCCTCTACAGTGAGGGCCCTTCTATATGAATAATGCCCTGTACTCAGGGCATTATTCATATTTTTGGATCATGATGGACGCGGTTAGATCCATTTTGCCTGTACAAATACACATCTGATTTTGAAAAAATTACATTAAAAACGAAATTATAAATTTTAATATTTTGAGATTTTTACACTCTTGTACATATTGTTTTTGGAGTAGACTTGAGAGTTCTAAAAAATCATTCGTGATTGCTGCACAAGTAGTTTGTGATCTTTGCACCCTTGGAATAATTGTCCACAAAGGTCGCAGCAGTTATTGGCCGACAATTTCACTTTAAGATATCGTGCTATTACGAGACTCGATCAGTCAATAAATTTTATTTTTGCATTTTACTATTTTACAAAGTTCTGCAAGAGTAACTAATTATTTTCTAACACTAAATACTAATACATAATAATTCTTCATAACGGAAAAACAAATTGTTTTAATTAGTAAAGAAAAAATAAATGATCACTTTTTAAAAATATTGACTAAATGATCTTTTCCAAGACAAGTTACGAAGGAACAAGACAAAAATTACACAAAAAATAATTAAATTTTAACCTTCATTTATTCCTATTCCTTCTTGAAAATTAACTTCAATTGCATATGCAAAATAAAATCATTAAAAATGGCCATTCTCAATATTTACATCACATTTTTTGTTTACGAAAGCAAATTCTAATGATGCGAGGAAAAAATGCTGAAGACATAAGTACAGTAATGAACAAAATTATAATTTTTTATTGTAATTAAAATAGAATTATGTCACTTGTACATAAAAATAGTATATAAAGAATGACATAAAATGAAGTGGAGGGAAAAAATTGGATAAAAATGTTGTCTGAGTTTTAGACGAAAGAATGATAAAATAACATATAATATTATGTAATATATCATGTAAATTTCGATGTCCATATAGTAAAGTCCACTAAAATATGGTGTAGCAAAAAAAATTAATAATTGTTGTATGGACAGTCTTTTCTGAATACTTATAAAAAATAGTCATTTCATAAAAAGGACATTTTGGGTGGCTACTTACTACGCTCTCTCATTTAGGCCCTGTTTGGGCCTTAATTTTGGACCTAAAAAATTGATTTTTTGACCGTTATTTCACTATTTCAACCGTCATATTTGACTTCTTCTTTCATAGATGAATCCAACTTTTCTCCTAACTGTCAAAAAATTAATTCTCAAAATCACTCTCAAACAGACTCTTATTATGGGGTTGTAGAGGTACAAGATGATTAAATAGTGCAGTTGCCTCCCAACAGAAAATAGTACAAGAGTTCAAAGCAAATGTAGTTGCTGAGAGAAAAGAAAAAGTATAAACAGTAAGGCTTTGTTTGATTGGCCATTAATTTCATGGAAAGTGAAAATTGAATTTCATTTTCCACATTTTGCATTGTTTGATTAGATTTTTTTACCATGGAATTCAATTTCCAAGTTTTCCAATCAAATGCCTGAATTCCAGATTTTTGAGAAAATCCAATTCTTATGGGTTTGGTGAAAATTGGAATTTCAGGCAACTTTTTTTTTTTTTTTATTAGCAATGAGAACAAATTCTATGCCTAATTGTAAATAAAATATTTTCCTTTAATTGACATTTTTCATGTAAAATAAAGTCAAACGAACACCAAAAGATAGATAATTTTTTTGGCTTTTTTTATATTATGAAAACAAATTTGATCCCCAATATTAGTGAATTTTTTCTCTTTAATTGACAATTTTAATGTAAAACAAAGTCAAATGAATACTAAAAACACTTTTGTTTTAACATTTTTCACGTGAAAAATTATACCAATCAAACATAATAATTTACAATTTCCAATAGAATAATTTTTAGACAATTCAATTCTCTGAAATTCTTTTTCTTTTCATCCAAATTTCATTTTTGCAATCCAATGGATCCTAAATGAAAAAAACAAAGAACTCTCACATCATCATTTTTTAAAATCATGTAGCTTACCTGGGAAAATTTTCTTTACATTCAGCATAAATCAATATAGAATGAATTATTCTAGACAATAGGGCCAATGTCCTTTCCTGTCCCCCCCCCCCTCCCCCCCGCCGGCGCAAAAACCCCCGGCGTTGGCTGGGAGTCTGTGGATTGCCATGTCCGTCAAGCAGAGTCCATATGGATGAGAAAACAAAATGGCAAGTGTAAATAAAACAGTTTCTAATAGAAGTCCAAATGAGCAATATTCTAGAAATCGACCAACATTCCTTGAAAAGGTATGGACCGAGATCAAATCCGTGATTAAAAAAATAAATAGACATAAAAACTTCTTTTGAAAAATAAATCGAAAAACTAACCATGAGATTTTGGTTCACCCGAATTTTTGGTGAATCGTTCAATTTATTATTATTATTTTTTTAAATGAGTTTTAGTTTTTTTATATTCTCTACTTTGAGTCTGTCAATGTTGTAGTGGTACAGTAGCTGCAATGAAAGGATGAACATTACTCTGCATTAGCAGCTGCAGGGGCCTCGCGCTAGGTGAATCCATTCTCAGAAATGTTAGGGGTACATAATTTTTTGTATATAAGAGTGTTCACCCTTTCATATGAGTGGGGCTCGCTTGAATAAAATATTCGAGTGAATCGCACAAGAGAGTGAATACCCTTATGTATAAAAAATTATGTACAAAAATCTTTATCCATCCATTCATAGGCAAGGCATGGTTTCCATATCCATATGGTCCTTATACGAGAGAGAGAGAGAGAGAGAGAGAGAGAGAGAGAGAGAGTCCTACTTTGGAATTGTACTCTATGATAAGTATATATTTTCCATGAACTGAATTCACTGGAGCTGAGCAACTCTAGGCAATGAAGAAACTGTCTCATTAAAAGTTATAAACCCCTCCATAATTCTTACAGGCTTGAAGAACCATTTTAATTTATTTGTGCTAAACAAACTAGTATTAAGATATACCAAAGGATGTATTCTTTAAAATCCCAAGCAATATATCTCAAACAGTCGAGATTTCATTCATCGTTCTTCCCTCCGAACTGTATTTGGATTAGACATCATCATCTTCTCCGGCGAGTCTTCCCAATTGGCAAAAGTTTTCAAGTCCACCTGCAATTGCCAGAAAGAAAAATTGTATCGATACTTGTTAGCCCGATCAACCTTTCAAAATTAATATGCTCAAACTTGGTTACTTTCGCCTTTGCTCCGTAAAAATTTCTTTCCTCCTCTTATAAGAAGCTTGAACTCCTTTGGCAATTTTTGTTGTTATATTTAATCGATAGTGTATAGAGTAGAATCGGATTCTCATATACCGTATTTGTGTTTTAGACACCGGATGTACACTTACTGTATTTGACAACTACTTATCGTATTTGGCAACTGCTTACCTATATATATATATTTGACAACTGCTCACCTTATTTGGCAGTGCAACTCACCGTATTTGGCACGTAGTCACCATATATGGCAGTGACCGTACTTGGCAGAGAATTAAACATATAATTTGATGTTTGTTTTTATATAATTTGCACAAACACAATTTCGAAGAAAAGAAAATTCAGATAAATTTTTTCTTAATTTTATTTTTCACAAATTACTTAGATACAAACTATTATATAAATTACTACTTGAATAAGAATGACAAATTATATTATTTACAGAAATATAAAAGTAGTATAAATTTCAGAAAGCTAAATAAATCTGAAAGCGTGTAAATCTACAAATAATTAAAGCACAAATACTCAAACTGAAAGCATATATATTTGGAAATAAACTTTTAACCCCGAGGTCTGTGTAAACACAGTTTCCTTAAGACAAATTCGCCCTCTCATCGTCGTGCTAGAGGTTTAGTTCGAGCGTCTGTCTCTCAGGATACAATGGTAACCAGCAGAATCCGAGCATCGCGATTCTACTCCGACGAACTAGGTAAGTGTTCGAAAAATATCACCTTACTGGAATGGACACGGGAGGAGACGGAACAAAATAGAAAACAGAACTGTATGAAGGCAGACGAAAATTGCTGCGAATGAATTGCTGGAAATTGAGTGAAATCATATAGACTGAATCTAACCATTAATTTCTACATTAACCATTGCAGTTTTCGGAGTTACACTTCGGTTTCAACCATTGAAGTTTTAGGAGTTTCAGACACTCAAAAGTCCTTTGGAAAAACCACAAAAAAAAATTACAAAACGCGGACAATCCAAA